TAAATCTCCCCTGGTGCACCTTGAGGCCATTTCCTCTTGTCCCATCCCTTGTTCCTTGGGAGCAGAGCCCAGCCCCTCCTGGCTCCATCCTCCTGTCAGGCAGTTAGTTGTAGGGAGCAGTAACATCCCCCCCAAGCCTTCTCTTCTCCAGACTGAAGCCCCCAGGTCCCTCAGCTGTTCCCCATCACACTTGTGCTCCAGGCTCTGCACCAGCTCCGTTGCCCTTCTCTGGCTCTGCTCCAGCACCTCAATGTCTCTCTTGTAGTGAGGGGGCTGTGCAGCAAAACCCCTCCAGGGGCTGAGCTGGTGTTGGCTGGAGCACATCACTCAGTTCTTCCTCTTCACATGTTGCTGGTGCCTCCCTGGTGACTGTGAGCTGTTGGGCATTCCCGTTGGGAAGGCAAGAATGCAGGCAGCACACTCTTACCTGTCCTCTCATGAAGGCCTCTGCTAGGTGATGCACTGAGCACAGCACAGGAAAGGGTTTGACTCTCAGACTGCAGGCAGGTCAGCATGGAGGCGTCCCAGCAGAGCTGGGGGGAATGCTGCACAGTCGTCCCCCCCCTTGCAGCCAGTGCTGCCAGTTCTGTTTTAGCTGTCTGCACTCACCCTCACCCCGGGGGCTGCGCTTGCAGCTTCATCCCCCAGGGAATGCCATGGAGCATACTGGATCCCAGCTGCCTGCAGACAGGAGGAGAGGACGGGATGCTGGCAAGTGCACTGGAGCTGTAAAATCCGCCTCAGAGCGCGTATCTGCTCGAGCAGGTTGAGCACAGCACATGGGCTCCTGCTCCGGAGGCGTTGCTGTTCCTCAAGCTGCACAAGCAGACGGCATTCCCCGATGTGCATTTGGGCACAACACAGGGAGTGATACCTCATTCCTTTAACCACTGTTTTCTTGGAGCAGGTAATGCTGAGGCTGGCTCACGGGCTCTTAGCTCTGCCTCTTTCCTCATGCAGGTCCCGGACTACCTGGATCACATCAAGAAGCCGATGGACTTTCAGACAATGAAACAAAACCTGGAAGCCTATCGCTACCTGAACTTCGACGACTTCGAGGAGGATTTCAACCTGATCATCAACAACTGTTTAAAATACAACGCCAAAGACACCATCTTCTACCGGGCAGCCGTCCGCCTGCGGGAGCAGGGAGGTGCTGTGCTGAGGCAGGCTCGCCGGCAGGCTGAGAAGATGGGCATTGACTTTGAGACAGGCATGCACTTCCCTCACTGCGTAACGGCGGAAGAGGCTCAGGTTCAAGACATCGAGGATGGTGGGTTCTCATCCCCTGTCCTGGGGTATGAGGGCTGCTCGGAGGCTCCAGCTGTGCTGCCTGGCTGGAAGGACTGACCCCCCCCCCCCGTTGTCAGAGCCGAGTGCTTCCCTTTCCCCCAGTTGTGGGCTTTGCTGGCTGCTACAAAGCTGCTGATACCCCTCAGCCAGTGCTCACTGGCTCCATGGTTGTAGTTCTGCTTGTGTCTGGGCAGTGGGGAGCACCACCAGGTACAGCTTGTCCAGGAAGGGTCCTTTTACAGTCCTCTTTTCCCTGCTCCAGCACAGGTTAGGCTCAGACAAGGAACTTCCCTGCTTTGTAATGATTCAAGATCCTTTTGTCTTTTGTTTTTCCTGTTACACCCTCCCCCCCCCCTTTTTCCTTTTGTGTCCTTGCCCTAGACTATGGGAACCCTGGCATTCTCCAGGCTGGTTTCCCCACCTTGCTTCCCCCGTGGCTCCTTCTCCAGGTCTTTTAGGATAACTTCCCATGTTCACAAGTGTTTGGTGCCACCTCAGCCACTTGCCTCTGTGGGGAACCTGCCGTTTCAGGTAGAGTAGCTCCAAGGAGTTCCCAGTTTTCTTTCATCCATCTGCTCTTCTTTGTTCCCCAGAAGATGTGCGGCTGCTGCTCTCGGAGAACCAGAAGCACCTGCCTTTGGAGGAGCAGCTGAAGATCCTGCTGGAGCGGCTGGATGAGGTCAACGCTGGCAAGCAGAGCATCGGCCGGTCCCGGCGCGCCAAGATGATCAAGAAAGAGATCACGGTCCTGCGCAGGAAGCTCGCCCACCCGCGGGACCTGGGCCGGGATGGGCTGGAGCGGCACAGCTCCTCGGCCAGGGGGGGCCTGCAGTCACACAACCCCTGCGAGAAGGACCTGCAGACAGACAGTGCTGCCGAGGAGAGCAGCAGCCAGGAGACGGGCAAAGGTACCTCATCTCAGTGTCCCTTCTGCCTGGATGGGGTACAGGGTGGGGTTGCAGCAGCCCCAGCTGATGAGCTCCAGATGCCGTCAAGTGCCAGCTACCAGCTCCCTGCCTCCAGGGCGGAGATGCTGGGCTCGTGGGGAGCACAGCAAAGGCTCCAGGCAGAGCTGCCAGGTACCACTGAGGGTTTGCCACCTCTGCATCCCAGTTCTGCTTCTCTAAGCAGAACTTTGACCTCATCCAGGCTCCTTGGCAAATAGGAAGTGTTTATGGCCTTTGTCTTTCAAGGGTGCAGTGGAGCTTTTCAGCTGTTCCCTTCATAATCTTGACTCCTGCTTTGAGATTGCCTGGGAGACAGGAAGGCATCCCTGGCTGGTGGAATGCTCTTTGATGTCCCCATCTAGCTTTTACTGCTGGCAGACTGGATAGCTTCACCCTGAGGGTGCAGGCAAAGCTCAGGATGGAGGATCTTCTGCGATAACATTCCCAAGAAATGAAGCTATTCCTTGATGCTGCTGCTGTGTGGTCCGTGCAGGAACCATGGGCTGCAGCTGACACCTCCTCCCTTTTCCAGGTCTGGGTCCCAATTCTTCTTCCACCCCAGCACATGAAGTTGGCAGGAGGACCTCAGTGCTCTTCTCCAAGAAGAACCCTAAAACTGCAGGTCCTCCAAAGCGCCCGGGCCGCCCCCCGAAGAACCGAGACAGCCAGATCACTCCTGGGCATGGGAACAGCCCCATCGGCCCCCCCCAGCTCCCCATCATGGGCTCTTCCCAGCGGCAGAGGAAGCGAGGGCGAAGCCCACGGCCCAGCTCCAGCTCAGACAGTGATAGCGACAAGTCCACTGAAGATACTCCCATGGGTGGGTGCAGCAGGTCCCCCCGTGCAGCCGGGTGGCTAACAGGGTCCCATGGGGTTCTAATACTCTTTGGTGCTTTGCAGATCTGCCAGCCAACGGTTTCAGCAGCGGGAGCCAGCCGGTGAAGAAGAGCTTCCTGGTGTACCGCAACGACTGCAACCTGCCCCGGAGCAGCTCCGACTCCGAGTCCAGCAGCAGCAGCAGCAGCAGCGCTGCCTCGGACCGCACCAGGTACCGGCCCTGATGGGGGCTGCCCAGGGGGGCAGTGGGTGGCTCTCAGCCTTGAGCTGCTGCATGAGGAACCCATTTGGTGGTCCCTGTCCCATTCACCCTCCTGCAGCCTGGCTGCTGTTAGCTAAACCCTAGAAAGCTGTGGGGTTTGTGCCTTTTTATAGTGTAAAACCTAAAGGTGAGTGTGCAGCAAAGGGCTAGTAGGGAGTGTGAACCAGGAATTCCCTCTTGGCACTTCCAGCAGCCAGCTCCTGCAGGATCCCCCTGCCTGTGGCTCTGTTTTGGAGCCGTGCACATCTTCTGGGTCCTCATGGGTGAAATGGGGTGAGGGTCTGGCTGAGGCACCAGAAGACTGGGTGAAACTGGGTGAGCCCCAGCAGAAGCACCATCCTTGCCAAAGTCCTTCCCAGTGCCAAGACCAGTGGTTGGAGCCCATGAGCCCTGGTGTTCCTCCAGGCTCGGAAGCCGTCTCTGGAAGCTTCACCACAGCTCCTGCTGACAGCTCTGCTCCCTCTCTCGCAGCACAACACCCTCCAAGCAGGGCCGAGGGAAACCCTCCTTCTCCCGAGTGAACTTCCCGGAGGACAGCAGCGAGGACACGTCGGGGACAGAGAACGAATCCTACTCTGTGGGCACGGGGCGAGGCGTGGGGCACGGCAGTAAGTGGGGTGGCTGGGGGCTGTCACTGTCACCCAGGGTGGCAGCAGCTGACTCTCCTCTAACCCCCCTCTCCTCCGGCACAGTGGTGCGCAAGGGCATGGGCCGTGGCGCGGGCTGGCTCTCCGAGGATGAGGATTCCTCCCTGGATGCTCTGGACCTGGTGTGGGCGAAGTGCCGGGGGTACCCCTCCTACCCCGCGCTGGTGAGTACCAGCGGCCACTTGCACACCATCAGGGCTCCCTCAGTCCCGCCAAGTGGCACTGGGGGATCCCCATCATTCCATTCAGTGCTCCCCCTGTTATCCCTGCAGATCATCGACCCCAAGATGCCGCGGGAAGGCATGTTCCACCACGGCGTCCCCATCCCTGTGCCCCCCTTGGAGGTGCTGAAGCTGGGGGAGCAGATGACTCAGGAAGCACGCGAGCACCTCTACCTTGTCCTCTTCTTTGACAACAAGCGCACTTGGTAAGGCCGGGGCGCCGGGGGCTGTTTTGGGAGGGGGGCAACCGGAGACGATTGTAACCCTCAAACGAGGTTTTGCCCCATTCCCCGCAGGCAGTGGTTGCCCAGGACCAAACTGGTACCACTGGGGGTGAACCAAGACCTGGATAAGGAAAAAATGCTGGAAGGTCGTAAGTCCAACATCCGTAAGTCGGTGCAGATCGCCTACCACCGCGCCATGCAGCACCGCAACAAGGTGCAGGGCGAGCAGAGCAGCGACTCCAGCGAGAGCGACTGAGCGGGGCCCCCCCCGACGGCCGCTCCCCGCCGAATCTCAGGGCAAACGGGGCTCGGGGGGGGGGGGTTCCCCGTGCAGCTGGTCTGCACCCGCCGGGCTTGGATGTCGCCGTCCCGGTGCCCGCTCCCGCCGCGCCCCGCCGTTGCTGTGTTCTGGCTGCACACACGCTCCCCCCCCCAGCCCCCGGCCGGCCCCGCGTTCGGACGTTGTTTGTATTTATTTTGAAGGAAGAAAAAAAAAATCTATTGATTCTTAGAAAATAAAAACCTCCGCTGCGCGCGGGGAACGGGAACGGGAACGGGGAACGGGAACTGGGCGGACCGCACTTCCGGGTTGGGGCGGAAGTGTGGGGATAAAGCGGCGCCGGCGCGGAGGGGAGCCCCGTGGTGCGGAGCGCGATGCGGGGCGGGGGGATGAAGCTCCGGGACACCCCATCGGCGAGCCCCGCGCTGTGGCGGGCCCTGCCCTGCCCGGCGGCCGAGCTACGGCTGGACCTGGTGCTGCCGTCGGGGCAGACGTTCCGGTGAGCTCAGCGGGGCTCGGTTTATCCCGCACCCCCTCCGTGCCCATGCCCGTGGCCTCTGGGCTGGCCCCGACGTTACCCCCCCTCCCCACCTACCACCCCAATGTGCGGCAGATGGAGGGAGAGCAGCCCCGGGTCCTGGACGGGCGTGCTGGGGGACACCGTGTGGACGCTGCGGCAGGAGCGGGACCGGCTCTGGTACACGGTGTACGGCGGGGAGGCGGGGGCAGACACAGACCGGCTCCTCCGGGAGTTCTTCCAGCTGGATGTGGGGCTGCGGGAGCTGTACCGCGCCTGGGGGGCCGCGGACCCCCTCTTCCGAGAGGCGGCCAAAGACTTCCCAGGTGAGGTGACCCCACGGGGGGGCACCCACAGCGCCCACCGGGCGCCCCCTTACCCCGTCCGTCCGCCAGGGGTGCGGGTGCTGCGGCAGGACCCCGTCGAGTGCCTCCTCTCCTTCATCTGCACCTCCAACAACCACATCTCCCGCATCACCGCCATGATCGAGCGGCTCTGCCGAGCCTTTGGCCGCCACCTCTGCCACCTCGATGCTCAGCCCTTCCACGCCTTCCCTTCACTCGCAGCACTCGCAGGTCCAGTGTCACCACACCGCTGTCACCGAGGCCTTGATGGCATCCACCCCTGATGTCCCTCAATGTCCCCACCAGGCGATGATGCTGAGGCCCGGCTGCGGGCGCTGGGCTTTGGGTACCGAGCCAAGTTCGTCAGCGGCACCGCTCGCGCCATCACCGAGGGGCTTGGCGTCGAGGGGCTGCACCAGCTCCGCACCGTGCCCTACGCCGAGGCCAGGAGGGTGCTGTGCACCCTGCCTGGTGTGGGCACCAAGGTGGGTACCGGCATGGGGCCGGGACGCGGAGCAGGAGTTGGGAATGGGCGGGTGATGGTGTGGTTTGGCAGCAGGTCGCTGACTGTGTGTGCCTGATGGCGCTGGACAAGGCGGAGGCGGTGCCGGTGGATACCCACGTGTGGCGCATCGCACGGCAGCGCTATGGCATGGAGCTGGGCGGCCGCAGCATCACCCCACGGGCGCACCAGGAGATCGGTGAGGGCAGCGCTGGGCCCGGACGTGTGTGACCCCCGGGATGGGGATGATGCTCCCGGTGCTCATCCTCTATCCACAGGCGACTTCTTCCGGGGGCTGTGGGGTCCCCGCGCCGGCTGGGCGCAGGCGGTGAGTACCCAACCCCGGGCACCACAGGGCTCAGCTCTCACCCCCCAGCTCACCCCATCCCTCCCCACACCAGGTCCTCTTCTGCGCTGACCTCCACAAAGGCCGGGAGCCAGCTGTGAGCCAGGATCGGGACAAGGAGAGCTGAAGGCAGGACTGCCGTGGTGATGGGACCCCTTAGGGACACCCCAGGAGGGACAGAGCCCCCCATCAGCGGCTATGATGATGGGGGTCACCGCTGCCTGGGGTGCTTGTCCCCTGCCCGCTGTGTGCATAGGGTGAGCTGCTGCTTCCCTGGGCAGTGAGGCTGATGGGGGGGCTCAGGGCTGTGTGTGCACCCCGCAGGGCAGGGCAGAGCCAAGCAGTGTTGGCCTCTTGTCTTTTATTACAAGCATTAAAATAGAAACATCCATTTGGAAAACTCCTTGATCATGCTGGGGTGTGGGGCAGTGCCGGGGCAGGCGTGGGGTGACGGGGGGATGTGTGTGATGGGGGGCCCAGGACACAGCCCCAAGCCAGGGTGCGGGGGGGGCTCTCCTGGGGGCTGCCCCAGTGCAGAGCTCTGCTATGAGCCTGCAGTGTGAAGCAGCCCCACACAGCTCAAGGGATCAGGGCTGGGTGTATCCACAGTGCCCCCCCCCCCGGCTCCCCACCCCACACGGTGCCCATGGGAAGGCCGGGCCCCCCCCCTAGCCCCCCAGGACGTGTCCGTGTGGGGCCGTGCTCAGTGCGGGGGCAGACGCTGGGCTCTGCTTGGGGGCAGACGCCCGTGGTGTGACCCTGCGGGAGGAGCCAGGGGTCAGAGCCCAGCAGCAGCCCCAGTGGGGACACGATGGGGATGGAGGGGAGGGGGGTCAGGGCTCACCGTTGCTGGTGCCCCCCCGCGGCTGCTCTCCGGGGCTGGTTGGTGCTGTCTGCATGGGGCCCTCCTGGCTGGTTCCCAGCTGCAGCTTCCTCATGTGCCTCACCACGGCCGTGGCGTTGAAGGCTTGCTGCCGACCCCACAGTGTCCCTCACCTGCCCTGGGGTGACTGGGGGGGCCCTGGACACCCCCTTTACTCCCCCATAGCCCCCCAGCACACAGTGCTCACCTTCCACTTGCTCTTTGCGAAGTTCTTCTTGATCTGCTCGCTCACTGACTGGTGGATGTTCTTATCAAGCGCCGTGTCCCCGGCGATCCTGGGGTGGGACAGGGGTCAGTGGGGCCTCCCCTGCCCCATAGCTGATGTGGGGTGAGTTATGGGGAGCAGACGGTGATGGGAACCCCCCTTACCAGGGATGCTGTAGGGCTTGCTCACAGGTGAAGCGCTTGCAGGGGTCCTTCTCCATCAGGTGCTGGATGAAGTCTTTGGCTGGGATGGGGCATGGAGCAGCCATGAGCACCTGCGCCTGTTGCTACCCTGGTACCATGGCACCACACCGGTGTCCCCACCCTTCCAGCCTGGTGTTCCCGCTCACCCGAATCCGAGATGTCATCCCAATAGGGCGAATCAAACTCATACTCGGCCCGCAGAATCTGCTCAAAGAGTTTGGCATCGTTCTCATCATAGAACGGGGGGTAACCGCAGAGCCTGGGGGGCAACAGGGAGGGGGACACCATCACTGGGTGTCTCTGGGGGTACTGGACCCCATGGAGGGGTTTGGGGCTGGATGCGGGGCACATACAGGATGTAGGCGATGACTCCGATGGACCAGCAATCCACCGCCTTGCTGTAGGGCTTCTGCGCCAGCACCTCGGGGGCTGCAGGGGGGCACAGCAGGGGTGAAGGGGGACCCCAACCCGGGGTGGGGCGGGACGGACACCCCAGCCCTGCACCCAGGCGCTCACCCACGTAGCCGGGGGTGCCGCAGGCCGTGGACATGACGCTGCCGCAGCCCTCGATCTTGGACAGCCCGAAGTCGCTGATCATGATCTTGGAGTCCTCGTCCATGCTGTAATAGAGCAGGTTCTCGGGCTGCGGGGAGGGGGTGGTCAGGAGGGGGGTGACAATGGGGTTCATGGGGGGGCTTTGTGCATGTCCCCCCCGAGGTGCTCACCTTCAGGTCGCGGTGGACGATGCCCATGTCGTGCAGGTACTTGACGGCATCGAGGATCTGCCGGATCAGGGCGCTGGCATCCCGCTCCGTGTAGAAACCCTTCTCGACGATGCGGTCAAAGAGCTCTCCCCCCGAGACCCTAAGAGGGGCAGCACGGTCAGCATGGCCCCCTCTGGACACCCCGGTGCCCCCCCATCATCACTCACAGCTGCATGATGAGGTAGAGGTGGGTGCTGCTCTCATAGATGTCATCCAAGGCCACGATGTTGGGGTGCTTGATCCTGGGAGGGGGGAGGAGATATATGATAAGGGGGGGGGGGGTGAGTGGGCTCCTGACTGACCCCCAACCATGGCCCCCACCATACAGAGAGCATCCGGGCTCGGTGCCGCAGGGCATCACGCGCCAACAGCTATTTTGGGCACTGGGAACAGCACACAGTGATGGGTGCTGGGAAGGGGGAGTCACGCCGGGTGATGGGGAGTGGGACACAGAGCGGGACCCCCAACAACCCCGGTGCTGGGACACCCTCCTCCCGGTGCCGGGCCAGCCCTTACTTGTGCAGGACGGCGATCTCGTTCTCGATGCTGGTCTCTTTCCCCTCCAGCGCCTTCTTAGCGATGCACTTGATGGCCACGAGCTTCCGCGTCGCCTTCTCCTCCGCCAGGACCACCTCGGAGAAGGCCCCCCTATGGGGAGCGAGGGGCGAGCGTGGCCAGAGCAGCCATGGGGACCATGGCAACGGGGAGAAAGTCCAGCTATTTATAGGAGGAAAGGGAGCGGGACACGGGACAGGCAGGGATGGAGCACCCGGCATCCCTCCCGCTGCGGCTGCACTGGCCCCTTATCAGGCAGGGTAAGGCTGAGGGTGAGCAGTGATGGGGATGGGTTTGGGAAGCCCCATCCCAAAGGCTGAGAGCAGGGCTCAGGTGGGAAGGTGGCTGCCGGCATTCCCTAAGCCTTGCCAGAATTAACCTGCTAATCCAGTGTAAGAGCCTTATAGCGCATCGGGCACCCCTGTGCCACCAGCATGGGATCCTTGGTGGGATAGCCACTGTCACCAGCACACAAGGGAGGTGTCAGACAGCACCACAACCCCCTGCCCATCCGCTTCCATCCCATTCCCAACCGGCATTTGGTCCAGCATTGGACCTGCTGCTATTCCACCACCATGAACTGGGGTTATATCACTGTAATATCCCACACCATTCCCACAACTCACGTGCCCAGGACCTCCCGGAACTCATAGATCCGACGAATATCCTCAGTCCTCTTCTTCCAGCTGGATCCATCCTGCCCCAGCGGCATGATGCCCCGTGGGGACACCTGTGTCCTGTCCATGACACCACCGCGGTCAGTGCGGGCACAACGGGGGTGATAAAGGGATGCGGTCCATGGGTGGTGGTGATGGGGATAACGGAGTTTGGGGTGTTTTGGGGGGGAAGACGCATTGGGCCCCTCCCGGTGCCCGCCCGCACCGGCGGGCACCGGGAAGGGCCCAAGCAACGTTTCTGGGTGCGTTTGGGGGTCCCCATAATGACGCGTTTCCCCCGTTTCCCCCCTCTCAACACCGTCCCTTCACCCCTTACCGACGACTCTGCGGTGGCCCCGGGCCCCCGGCGGTGGTGACGCCTCCCAGCGCTGACGTCACGGGGAACGGGGGTGTGGCCACCCAATGGGAAGGGCCGGGTTTGGCGCGGACGCGCGCGGCTACGCGGGAGTTTGGCAGCGCGGGATGAAGGGGGGATATGGACACACGCACACGTGGGTTTGGACACCCCCCCCAATTCCCATCTCATGGGGGTGTGGGGAGGGGTTGGGGACCTTGAGGTTGTTGTCCCCTTCACGTTGAGCCCAGTATAAGCAGGACCCCCCCCCATTCCCACCCTATGGCATCCTGCCCCCCCCCCCCCCCCCCAAATATCCCCAAAGCCATCACACCATTGCTTACACCAGAGCTGCCTTTATTTCTACACGGTGGTAGAAAACAACAGTACATGGGGAGCCCGGATATCACCCCAGTGTGTCCCTTCCCACCCCACACCCCAACTGGGTGGTTGGGATAAGCCCCCCAGGGCCATGGGGAGGGATAAGGGACTGTGGGGACTGCACCACAGCCACCATCAATGTCCATCCCTTGCGGTGGCCTGGCTGGTGTCACCCACCCCGAATAAGAGGGACACAGGAGTGGAAGCTACCGGTGAGGGGGGGACCCTCATGTCTCCTGGGTGGGTGACAGCCCCATGTCAGGTGGCCAAGCAGGCCTGGGGCATGCAGGCACCTGCACCCCTCTGTCCCACACTGCACGGTGAGCACAGGCGTGCTGGCACCTTGCAGGTGGCAGGGACACAGCCACCACCCCTGGCTGCTGAAGTCCGTGGCCTGGGGGTATCCTCAGCCCCCATTACCCATCCAGCAGCTTGAGGATGCTCTCTCTCTCCTTCAGAGTCTTCCAAGCTTGGTCCTTCTCCTTCTTGGTGGGCGTTCGCTTCTTCTGCCGGGCTGCCATGATCTTGCGGAAGGCATCCATCACCTCGTTGTCAGCCATGCGAACACGCTGCCGCAGCTCCTGCCGGTGCAGCTCCTCCTTGGCCAGCCTATGGACATGGGGGTGTCATGTCCACACCTTCCTGCTTGTCAGCAACCCCCTGCACCCCGATCCCTGCCCGCTCTCACCGCAGCAGCTCGTGCTTCTTGGCGCGGTTGTGGGCGCTGAGCGCCTTGAGCTCTGCCTGCCTCTTGCGCAGCTCCGCCAGGACCTCGTCCTCCGAGTCCTCTGCCGGCCGGTCCTCCGACTCCAGCAGGCCCTGGGCCACCAGCTCCTCCTTGATGCGTCCCTCCAGGGACTTCGTGTGTGGGACACTGTGGGGTGCAGAGTGGAAGCTGCTCCCACCACGCTGCTTCACTCCCCAACACTCAGCACTGGGCAGGGAAGGCACCGAGCCCCGGGCCCAGCTCGCCCACTCACCTGAAGGGCTTGTTCTGGCTGCGGGGAGACGTTCCAGCACCATCAGCTCCCGAGTCCTTGCCGGCGATCTCGGGGATGGGGGAGTCCTCGACTGGGGAGATGATGTTCTCCTGGTGAGCAGAGCACGAAGTGGTCACAGCGCTGGAGCGTGGTGGCACTGCCCCATGGGATATGGGCTTGGCACAGCCCCACGGAGCCCACTCACCTCCACAAGGGCCTGCAGGAGACGCTGAGTCAGGGGCCCAAAGGGACACCCGTCCTCTGGCTGCTCATGCTGGGCTTCTGACTTCTTCAGGAGAGCATCAACATCTGCGAGGAAGCAAGATGGAAAAGCCCCAAACAGAGGTGAGCAGCAGGGCAGGATGCACTCCATCCCCAGGGCTCACAACCCCTCCTGACAGTGCCTGCACCTTTGGTGTCCAGCTCGGTCAGGGGTCCCAGGACACCTTTCTTCTTGTCAGCAGCAGCTGCGGCCCGGGCTCCATCCTTCTGCTCCTCCAGCAGGTCCTCCTGGGCCCAGCGCTGGGAATAATGCTTCCCCAAGGGCGGGATCTGCAGGAGCAGGGCTCGCACAGGTCCCAGAGCCTCCTGCCTCATCAGCACCGTGGCATCATTCCAGGCAGGAGCACTGGCTGTGAGGTGCAGGAAGGAGCAGGGAAAAGTGAGGGTAGGAAATGGGTTTGGGGGGGGGTTTCACCTTGTAATGCTCAGCCTCATCCTCTGGCGGCTTGAGCAGCTCCTCCAGGACTCTGACCTCCTCATTGGTGAGGTCTGCGCAGTACGGCTCCACCGATGCCCAAAACCTGTCAGGATGGATGAGCTGTGATGGAGAGCCCCAGGGCATCCCGTGGGAGCTGGCACACAACCCCTTCCCTCCAGGCACCTCTTCCCTGGAGCCAGCCCTCACACCGGGAGCTGCAGCCCAAACACCCACCTGTTTGGAGCATCATTTTTGGGAATGCGGGGCACGTCAATGGGATCATCCTGGAATTCGTATTCCTGGATCTTGGGCTGCAGGTTCTTTGATTTGGGCCTGCCGGGGCCAGGCCCGGTCCCGTGCCCCCCTTTGCCCTCCAGCTTCTGCTTTTTGGGCTTCCCGTGCTTGACAGAGGTGCCCACATCGTGCTCCTTGCTCAGCTTCAGGAACCGCCGGTCGCCCTTCTTATCCTGCCAATCCGTCAGGATCTGGAAAGAGAGGGATACCCGCGGTCGGCTCCGGGCTGGGAGGGATGCAGGCAGCCGGAGGACCGGGATGAGGAGCATCCCTACGGCACCTGAGTCTCGGCCTCCAGCACCCGGAGGCGGCGGCTGGCGGAGGAGAGCAGCGTCTCCAGCTCCAGCTGCAGCGTGTCCAGCTCCTCGATGCCGATGCCGTCGTCCTCGGAGCGGGCCAGCACGGCCGTGTACCGCGGGCAAACCTTCCCATGGTCCACAGACTTGAAGTCGTGGAACTGCAGCGGGCAGTCCTTCAGCTCGGACATGGCGGCGGGCACGGGGCCTGAGGCGGGCACCGGGGGCTACGGCGGAACCGGGGGGTGATACCGGAGCGGAGCGAGGGGCTGCAGGGCCGCTCGCCCCTTCCGGCCGCCGTCCGTGGTGCTCGCCCCGCCCCTCGCGTTCTCCGATTGGCCCAGCCACGCCCGATGCCCATCGCTCATTGGCCCGGCCCTCTTTCCATCTCGCTTCCCTAATATGGAAGCCCTGACTGGAGCGTACCAAGCACAGCGGAGAGGGGGGTGGTGAAGCGGTGCGGGATCCCGCTGCGGGACGCCTCTTCCGCTCCCGTTCTCCAGCGAGGCCTCATCCCAGCCGCACTATACCTCTGTGCCTCGGAGAGGCTTCGCTACCCTCTCCCGGGCCCTCACCTGGGGATAGGGGGAGGTAGCAGACACCAGTCACCCCCCTTCCCGCCGCAGTGGGAGGTGCCGCGCATCGGGGAAGAGGTGACCGGCTACTTCCGCCTGGCGGCACCGGACCGCAGCAGCCACCATGGTAGGGCGGGGGGCACCGGGCCGGGGGCGGCGGGGCCGGGAGGGGGCAGCGGGGCGGGGGGAGCCGCGGGTACCGGTACCGGTGCTGATGCCGCCGTGTCCCCGCAGACCGCCACGCTGCGCCCGTACCTGAACGCGGTGCGCGCCACGCTGCAGGCCGCGCTGTGCCTCGAGAACTTCTCCTCGCAGGTGGTGGAGCGGCACAACAAGCCCGAGGTGGAAGTCAGGTACGGCGGGGAGCGGGCCGGGATCCCGGGGGGGGCTGGCTGGGGATGGACGCCTCGAAGCATCCCGTATCAGCGAGAAGGAAGGAGCCTCCCCGCGGCTCCCCATCCCCGTCCGGTTCTGATCCCCCCCATCCCCGTTGCTGAGCTGTAAACGCTTCCCTGTGAGTCAGCGCTGCCGTTCCTCTGCTCGCAGGAGCAGCAAAGAGCTGCTGTTGCAGCCGGTGATCATCAGCAGGAACGAGAAGGAGAAGGTGCTCATCGAGGGCTCCATTAACTCCGTGCGCGTCAGCATCGCGGTGAAGCAGGTGAGGTTTGGCCGCAGGGGGAAGCTTCAGTCCCCTCTCTCTTCCTCCTCGCTTCCCTCTCACTTCCCTTCCCTCTCCTCAGGCCGATGAGATCGAGAAGATCTTGTGCCACAAATTCATGCGCTTCATGATGATGAGGGCTGAGAACTTCTTCATCCTGCGCAGGAAGCCCGTGGAGGTGAGGGGCTGGGATGGGGCCGAGCTCCCATCACCGGGGGGGGGGTCTCCAGAGATGGATGTGAGGGTGCATGGTTGGTGTCCCAGGTGTTCATCCGCAGGGTGCTTCTCTCTTCCCCAGGGCTACGACATCAGCTTCTTGATCACAAACTTCCACACGGAGCAGATGTACAAGCACAAGCTGGTGGACTTTGTCATCCACTTCATGGAGGAGATCGACAAGGAGATCAGCGAGATGAAGCTGTCTGTCAACGCCAGGGCCCGCATCGTGGCGGAGGAATTCCTCAAGAACGTGAGGCTCGGGAAAGGGAGGAGGCGGATTCCTCGTGTTGGGATTTTGGGAGTGGGGTGTGGGGCTCCAAGCCAGTGTGGTTCTAATGCCCAGAGCCCCCCCAATCCCACCTATGGGGACAGCAGTGCCAGTGTGCCCAAGACCCTCTTGGAGACAGGGTGGGAGGATGCCCAGGGTGGGGGGATGCTCATACCCACTTTGTGTGGGAAGTGCTGGGTTTGGGATCCCCAGAGCACGCTGGGGGGTGGGGGGCAGCAGCCACCAAGGGCACAGCCCCAGGGTGCTGGTTCACACAGGGGCTCACAGCCACCTCTCTTCTCCTCTTGCCTTGCAGTTCTAGGCCGTGGTGCAGGACCCCGTGGCTCCCCAACGCTTGTGCCTGCTCCCGCTCCCCAACGAGGATGGCCGGGCCGGGCCGGGCCCTGCCTGCCCCTCACCGTGCCGGGGGGGCCGGGCCGGGAGCAGCGCCCGCTTGCGGCAGAGCGGCCCCGGCCGTTCCCGTGTCTCGTCGTGTTTTATAAACGGTCTCGTTTGCTGTAGCCGCTGCCTTGGGCTCTTTCCTCTCGCCGCAGCGGGGGGCAGACACCGTGGACCCCCCCGGGGATGTGGAGTGCCCGGCTCCTTATGGAGCTCCATAGCAACTGCAAATAGAGGGGGCGGTCCCGACGGTGGGGGCAGGACCTGTGGTGGGAGGAGCAAGGGGGTGGCCTTAAAAGGGGGGATAATTGGGGTTGAACGAGGATGTTGGGGGAGAGGGCTCGGGATGTGGGGCACGAAAGAGTTTGAGGGCTTGGGGGCATCTCCATGTGAAAGGGGTCGAGAAAGGGGTTTGGGAGGATGGGGGTGGCACACATGACACAGGGGGCTGGTGTTTGTACCACTTTGGGGCAGTGGGGCCAGTGCGGTGACCAGGGCTGGTGCAGGGTTGGGGTGTCCATGTGCTGGACCCGACCTCAGTCCCCAAGGGGAGAAGGGATGCACTTGGTCTCTGGGGATGCAAAGGAGTCACCCTCTCGTTGACACCCAGACCCCCCCAGCCAGGCTTGGTGGGGGGGTGAATGCCAGAGTAACCGATGTTCCTAGTGGTGTTGGGGGGCTGAGTGCGACCTTTGGGCCCTATGAGGCAGCCGGGACTCCAGCACGAAGCTCTGACCTGGTGCATGCTTGGTCACCATGGAGCGGCTGAGGAGCAGGCAGCACATGGAGGAGGCTGTCGAGGTGAGGCCTGATTACACACGCACCTTACTACATGCCAGGTACACGTGTTTATTGCATTTATGGCTGAACACTTGCATCCCTCCCTAGGAGAAGATCTTCATGGTGTGGGGCACCTACCCCATCATCCACAACGTGCTTCGGGCACGGGGCTGTGTGGAGAAGTTCTCCAACACCATCAGGGTGGGCACCCTCTTGTGGCAGCAGCAGGACAGCTGGAAGCTGCTGGATGAAGACAGGGGCAATGAGCAATGGGAGTCAGTGCTGGGTCCAGAGCCAGGGTTGGCATTCTGCTGGGCTCAGCCCTCAGTGGAGATCCTGGAGCCTCCGGAGGAGGAGGATGCCCACTGGTATGATGAGGACCTTGGTGGCATCCACAACATCATGGTTAGTGGTGAGGACCAGGGCTGGACTCCCCAGGGCACAGCCTGGGCTGGGTGGTGAGGTGGGATGGGGGCTCCACAGCCCACCCCAGTCCCCTCTGTCCCTCCTGCAGTCCTCTATGGTGAGTGACCAGACACTGACCTTCATCTGGACCAGTCAACTTTTGGCTGCTGCAGGACCACCAGGTGGTGAGCCACTTCAATGGCATCAGAGCCTTCACCACCAAGGTGAGAGCCTGGGGATGCTGGGGACGTGGTGCTGTGGTGCCTGTTACCTTTGGTACCCAAACCTTCCGTGGTCTCCAAGTCACTTATGGACACCAAGCCTCCTGTGATGCCCAAGCCAAAGGGCAGAACTACTCAGCTCCCACAGGCTGGAGCAGCACAGGTCCAGCCAGCTCCTCTGGAGCAATTACGCTCCTTCTCCTCTGGCTCTGTCCCCCAGGCACCACCACAGCCCAAACCCCTGCTCCAGAGGGCTCAAGTCACTGCCCTTGTGGGGCCAGTGCCCTGCCCAAGGCACCCCCTCCACCAGCTGAAGTCCCACCAAGGACCCTGCCTGCATGCCCTGGGCAGCTGAGCTGTGCTGTAGGCAGGGGTCATGCGGCAGCACCCGCAGGCAGGCAGAAGACCTGCTGCAGGCCATGAAGGAGGGGACAGCATCATGCCCATCCTAAGTGGGGCAGCACGGCAGCAACCCCATCCCCCTTACCTCAACCAGAACCTGTCACTGCACAGGGACGCCCACCCCACCAACTGTGGGGTGATGAAACATTACTGAAACACACTGACCGTGTTTCAAAACCCCACATGTGGGGTGGGAGGATGCAGTGGGAACCGGGTCTGCGGGCAGGAACCGGGGCAGGAAAAGCCGCCTCCGCTCCTGCTTGTGGTCACGGCTGCGAGACAGAGCCGTGGCAGCGGTGACACCGGCAGTGGGAACCAGGTCAGGCACTGGTGTCACATGTTGATGATGTGTCCCCAGGAGAAGAAACGGGTGCTGCGACACCGCGGCAAGAGGTGGGGATTTAATAGGGCAGCAGAAGGCACTGGGTTGGGGGTCCCCCCCATGGGTGCTACCGCTCCAGGTGCCCAGGCAGCCCCAGGCATTGCAGCGTGCGCAGGAAGGGGAGTGGTGGTGGGGCACGGATCGGGCCCTGCGGCAGCACCAGCTCCTGCAGGTGGATGTGGAGTGGGAGGTGCCGAACCTGCTGTGGGGAGAGCCCCAATCTCTGCAGCAGCGCCTCGTCCAGCACCTGCAATGGGAGCAGAGGCTCAGTGGGGCCCTGGGGGCTGTGCTGAGCCCCCAGCCAGCACCCACCGCGGCCATGTACCTGTGTGCGGGGTGCGGCGGGCTCGGGGGGCAGGAGGAAGGGCACCCCCAGCACCCTGCCCACGCGGGACGAGTGCTGGTGGTCACCCAGAGCCGGGCACAGCAGCAGGGTCAGGTGAACCGGGAGCTGCTCCGGGAAGGCTGGAAGGCAGTGGTATCATGGCGGGTGGGGAGGGACAGGGGGTGGGGACAGGGAGGGATTTTGGGGCACCACTCACCCGTCCTGGGCTGGAGCTGGAGCAGGGCGCAGCCCCCCGCGGCCCCCAGCACCCGGTACCGTGTCAGGGTGTTCTTCACCTCCTTCCTGGCCAGGCTCCCGCGTCCCGGCGCCGGCACCGGCACCACCTGCGGCACCACCACAGCCTTCAGCCCCCCGTGCCGGGTCACCCTCCCTGTGCCCGTAACCCCCCAGCACCCCCTTACCACAGCGGTGTCACCCTGCTGCTGCCAGCGCAGCCCGGTGTGGATCTCGCCCTCCGGCTCTGCCGGGACCCCCACGGTGACGGCGCTGTGGGGAGAAGGGGGGGGTGAGGAGGGGACAGGACCCCTCCACGGTGCCATGGTGACACCCCGGGGACTCACCGGTACGTGACTGGGTACTGGCCTCGCTGGCGAGCACCGGTGAAGAACTGCTGGAGCTCCTCGGTGGCGCGATGGCAGCTGGACAGGAGGGTGAGGCCGGAGTATTCCCTGTGGGATGTGACAGCCCTGAGCCCCACAGAGGGGGAGCGGCCCCTCCTGAGCCCCCTTCACCCGTACCTGGCCGGAGCCTTCACCACGTGGAGCTCGGCGGGGAGCCCCAGGCGCCGCCGCAGTGCCGGCAGCAGCACGGCCAGGCTCAGCTCCCCGGGCCGCCCTAGGCAAGGGGGGGGGGGGAGGTCAGCACACGCTGTGCCCCCCAAACCCTATCCCTCCCCAATTCCTGCACCCCCCGCCCCGCACTCACCCAGCACAGGCAGGCCGTGGGGTTTGCTCAGCGCCAGCACGGCTCCTGGTGACGGGATGCGGGTCAGGATGTGACCGACACACCACCACCCCCCCCCCCGTTCCCCTTTGGTACCTTCCCGGTGCACCACAGAGGCCTCCAGTAGCCCCAGCGTCTCCTCAGGGCCCAGCGGCCGCCTCCATCTGTGGGGTGTGAGTGGGGGGGGCACGAGTGGAACACACACACCCCCACACCCCCCCTCCTGGTTGTTGGTCACCCCCCGGTTATGGGACACCCCCCCCCCGGGTTACTGTAAACCCCCGGTTATAGGACACACGCCCCCTCCCCGGTTACGTCCCGTCCCCCCTCCCCCGTTTATGGCCCCCCCCAGTCTGACCCCGCCGCTCTCGCCCGCCGCCCCGCTCGCGCCAGCCCTGCCGCCATGTCGTCACCGCGCGGAGGCGGAGCCGGACGGGGGCGCTCCTCGCACCTACCATAGAGCCGCCCCTCCGGCAGCGCAGAGCGGCCTACCTCCGCGGTCGGTGCCGGCGGGGCTGCGGCTATAGAAAGGCGGAAGTGCGGGCAGAGCGTCCCGCCGGCAGGTGGGGTGCGGCGGGGGGGGGGGGGTGTCTCACCCGGTGTCGCGGGGGGGGTCGGTCCGGTCCCGTCCCGTCCCGCTCACTCTGTGCCTCCCCAGGGCAGCACCATGGCTTCCCGCGGGGGGCCCCGCGCCGCCGGCACCGACGGCAGCGACTTCCAGCACCGGGAGCGTGTGGCCTCGCACTACCAGATGAGGTGGGTGCCCGGGCGGATGCGGGTGTGCGTGCGGGGGTCCGTGTCCCCCCTCCATCACCCGGTGATGCCCTGTGCTCCTCCCCGCAGCGTGACCCTGAAGTCCGAGATCAAGAAGCTGATCTACACACACGTGTGCATCTGGTTGCTGCTGCTGGCCCAGATGTGCGTGGGGCACCTCAAGTTGCTGCCCCACGACCAAGTGGCCATGCCCTACCAGTGGGAGTACCCGTACCTGCTCAGCATCCTGCCCTCGCTGCTGGGCCTCCTCTCCTTCCCCCGCAACAACATCAGCTACCTGGTGCTCTCCATGATCAGCACCGGGCTCTTCTCCGTGGCTCCGCTCATCTATGGGGCTATGGAGATGTTCCCCATGGCGCAGCAGCTCTACCGGCACGGCAAAGCTTACCGCTTCATCTTTGGCTTCTCGGCTGTGTCCGTCATGTACCTGGTGGTGGTGGTGGCCGCTCAGGTGCACGGCTGGCAGCTCTACTACAGCAAGAAGCTGCTGGACTCCTGGTTCACCAGCACGCAGGAGAAGAAGAAGAAATGAGGAGCGATGGGGTCTGTGAGGGATGGAGCTCTGCAACCGGGCCCTATGGGGCAGCGCTGGCGCGGCTCCGGTGCGGGCTCCCCCCCCCCCCCATCCCGGGACCAACGTGTCTGAGCCATGCCACGGCTCCGGGATCGCATGTAACGGGGGGGGGGAGACCCGGTGCTGGGGAGGGGGTGCCGATCCTCCGCGTGTTTCTGTATGGAAATAAAGCAGCTCCGCGCTCCCACGCGTGTCTGTGCCGCCCGGTGACGGGGCGGGCGGAGCGGCGGGGCCACACGTGCCGGCGGAGGAATGCGGCGGGGCCGGCCCGGGGCGGGGCGCGGAGCGGGTCGGAGCGGCCATGGGGCGCTCGGTGCTGCTCGCTGCCGCTGCCCTGCTGCTGCTGCTGCTGCCGCCGCTCACCGGGACCGGAGCCGTCGTCACCCGCCTCCGGGTCTCCTCCAACTTCGTGAGCGACGGGGGAACGGGGAGGCGGTGGGGAGGGAGGCGGGGGGGGCTGGCGGCGCCGCGCTCACTCCGGTGTCTTTCCTTGCAGAAGTGCTGGGCCACCGGTGAGTAGCGTCGGGACCGGGTCTGGGACCAGGATGGGGCTGCGAACGTGGGGCTCCATCCGCTCGCGGATACCGGGTCCTGAAGCCGGGGGTTCTCCTTACCCGCGGTTCTCTCTTCTCGGGGCTCCCCCTTCCCGGTGATTCCCGGTGTGCCGAACACCCGGCCCGCCATGGACTCTCGGTCCCGGCTGTACGCGGACCCCGGCACACGGCCGCCGCTCTCTGCTCTCCCCTCCCCGCAGCCGACAGCACATTGAGCCGCCCCCGGTGCCGCCGCCCGTCCCGGTCCGGGCCGCCGCTGAACGCACCCGCCCTGGAGCTGGGCAGGGCCCGCCTGTGCCTGCACTCGCAGCGCTGCCAGCCCTGCCTGCGGGTGCGCCTGGCCCTCCCCGCCGCAGGTACGGGCAGGGGCACCGCGCACCCCCCGTCGGTGGGGGGGATGTGGGGGTAAAGGGGAGCTGGGGGCTCATCTCCCACCCGTGCCCGCTCCACACGCTGGTTTCCCGCAGAGCTCGGTGATGTCCGCGGGCTCCAGCTGAACTTCCTGGAGCTTGGCTCCAACCGGGCAAGCTGGCTGCAGGTGTGGCGGCGGCACCGGGCAGCGGGCAGCTCACCGGTGAGTCTGGGGTGGGTTGGATGGGGCGGAGCCGTCGGTGTCCCGCTGAACTCCCCCCACACACACACACCCCGGTTCCCGCAGTGGCAGGTACAGTTCGACTGCTTCCCGGTGGAGAGCAGCCGGCAGGTCCTTGTCTCCCTCCACACTATCCCCGACCGAGGCTGGACCCTCAGCCGCAGCCGCTTGGTCACTGCTGAACCGCCCGGTGAGGCTGGAGGGGACCGGGGGGGTCTCGAGGGATGGGGGACACACACATGGGCACCAGCTGACCCCTGCCTGCTCCACAGGACCCATCTTCACCCATACGTGGGTGCCCGAGGAAAGGGCCATCGAAGTGTGGGTGCCCGACGGCCCGGCCCTCATGGTGCGCCTGTGCCATCAGCTCGCCCTGGAGTGTGAGGAGCTGCCCCGGCCCTTCCACCAGCAGGTAACGGCTCCATTCCCCACCACACCAGGCTGGGATCCGTGTTCTCCTCCACTGATTCTGCCTCCGTACCATAGGTGCTGGTGCTGGGGGGCCACCGCATCTCACTGCCATACGAGTTCCTGGTGCCCTGCTTATGCATTGAGGTGCGTCGCCCATCCCCGTGGCCTCTGGGCCCGTGCAGCGAGGGCTCATCCTGCCCTGACCCCCACCACTCTGCTCCCCCAGGCCTCTTACCCGCACCACGACAGCACACGCAGCAAGCGCTGCCCCTTCCGCAACCAGCTGGCTGCCTGTGAGTGCCCATGGGGAGGAGGGACCCCGGTCCTGGGGGTGTCCCCCCCTCCGGCCCCACTGACCCGATGCCTCGCAGATGGCCCCGAGCTGTGGTCCTCGGTGCACTTCCACGACTACAGCACCAGCAGCAAGGACCAGATGGCAATGGTGCTGAGCGCCAGCTGCCCCCTGCACCCCCGCGCCACCCTGTGCTGGAGGGAGGTGGCAGCTGAGGCTGCACCGTGCCACGACATCCCCAACTCCACTGCCAGCGAGGAGGACCAGGTAAAGGGTCGTGGTTTTGGGGTGCTGGGGCACCCACCAGACCCCCAGGGACCCCTGAGGGTGGTGGGTAGTTGCTGCAGTGCCCATGGGCTATGCAGGTTTGGGATGGTGATGCTCTCTCTGCACATTCCAGGCATATACACTGGACAAGGTGGATGTGCACCCCCAGCTCTGCTTTCGGGTAAGCCCCCATGGGTAGGTGGGCACCAGTGCTGGGGGGCTCTGGGGCTCCCCCAGCCCTTTACTGATCCCTGTTCTCCCCAGTTCTCCTATGGGAACAGCAGCCACGTGGAGTGTCCCCATCGGCCAGGTGAGCCCTATAGATCAGGGGCACCCCTGCCCTGGGGTCCCTCGCACCCCTCATCCCCTTGGGCATCCCACAAGCCCCCTGCTTCTCTCCCTGGTGACCGCAGTGACCGCCTGGAACGTCTCAGTGAGCGTCCGAGGGCTGCAGCTGCGCCTGCACCTCATCTCCAGCATCCCTGCAGCTTTCAGTGCAACCCTCTGCCAGCGCCGGGGCGGGCAATGCGAGCCCGAGCCCCCCCTCTACACTGTCACACAGGTGAGTGGAGTGGGGCTGGAGGGGGGGAGGACATGGTGGGGACCGACCCACAGTGACCCTTCTCTTGTGCTTTGCAGCCAGAGGGCTCAGCCCCAGGGGAGCTAGCGCTGCTGCTGCCGATGCAGGTCCTGGGCAGCTGCGTGCTGGTGAGGTGACCCACGTACCAGCACCCCCACAATGGGGGGGACCCCAACCCCAACCCGGCCCCTCCTCACACAGCCTCTTCCCCAGGTCTGGCGCTCGGATGTGCGTTTTGCTCGGAAGCAGCTGCTCTGTCCCGATGGTGAGTGAGGGTCCCGGGGAGCCACGGGGGGCACTGGGGGTGCACGGAACCCCCATTCCCTCACTGCCCCTCTCCCAGTCTCCCGCAGGCACTTTGGGCTGCTGGGGTTGGCGCTGGTGCTGGGGCTGCTGTTGACCTTGCTGCTCCTCAATTGCCGAGGCGCCTGGAGGCCTGATGATGGTGAGGGGCACTCCGGGGGGATGCGGGACGGGGGAACAGTGCTCATGGCACCCATAGGGCTGGGGTGCCGCGGGCTGCTGCCTCCCTGGGCTGCAGAATGGATGCACAGGGTGGTCAGATGCCCTTGGAGGATGCCGGTGTGTGCCCAGGGGATGGGGAGCGGCTCGGGGCAGGGCTGTCACCGCTGTCCCCTCCACCCGCAGGTCCCGCGGGCGCTCGCCCCGTGCTGCTGCTGTACTCGCCGGACTCGGAGGAGCACTTGGGGCTCGTGTGCGCCCTGGCCGAGCGGCTCCGCGCCGGGCTGGGCTGCGACGTGCGCCTGGACCTGTGGGAAGCGGGCGGCTTGGGGCAGGCGGGGGCCCTGCCCTGGCTGTACGCGCAGCGCGGCACCGTGGGCCGGCAGCGCGGGACCGTGCTGCTCCTCTGGAGCCGCGGCAGCGCCCGGCTCTTCCGCCGGTGGCGGGGCGGGGCGGCGGGCGGGGACCCCCCCGGGGATGCTCACGACATCTTCGGGGCGGCCATGTCCTGCCTGCACGGGGAGCTGGGCGCGGCGGGGCGCGGCAGGGGCTGGGTCCTGGCGTACTTCAGCCGGCTCTGCAGCCCCCGAGATGTCCCCCGGCCGCTGCGGCCCCTGCCCACCTACCGCCTGCCCCGGCAGCTGCCCGGGCTGATGGGCGCCCTGAAGGGCAGCCCCCCGGCCCCCCGCCGCTGCTGCCCGGGCGGGGTCGGGGGGCTCCTGCACCGGCTGGGGGCCAGGGAGGGCAGCCCCCCCCCGCGGCACATCGGAGCGGCTACCGGCACTTGAGGGATTGCGCTGGGGCTGAGCTGGGCATTGCGGGGGGCGGCCCCCCCCCGTTATGGAGGTGCAGGGCTCGGCCGTGCCCGTGGGGGCACAAGGAGGAGCTGGTCCCAGCCATAGGATGTGCTGTGGACAGGGATGAGCTTCCAGCCCGTGGAGCTGGGAGCGGAGGTGCTGTCCCGGGCAGGGGCAGCTTTATTTCCACACAGGGATTTGCTCCAGAGGAAAACCAGGACCTGAGAAGCCCCTCGGGATGTCACAGACGGTCGAGGGCTGGAGCAGCAATGGAAGAAGCTGAGTCGTGGCAGGGGGGGCTCCTGCTCTGCCCTGCCCAGGGCATGGGGGGCAACTGCTGGGCACAGCCTGGCCCTGCTCCTTGCTCTTGCTGCCAGCAGGACCGTGTCTGGGGTGGAAGCAATAAAGCCACCGTTTCACCCTCTCCTGCTGTCCATCCATGCCGTGTGCTGGGGTGCCCGGTGCTCCCCTGAAGCATGGTAGGGGGCAAGAGGGGGTATAGGGCAGGACATGGCATAACCACGGCTCCAAGTGCGGCTCCCGGGCTCGTCTGCGTTCTGAAACCACCGTGTGCTGGATCCTCTCCATGGGGATCAGGGAGGCCCCACCCCGGGGCGGCACTAGCGAGGACCCGGGTGTCCGGGATCGGAGCAGGAAGCGGGAGCCGGTGGCGGCCGCGGGGCCCGTGGAGCCGGGAGCGGGGTTGTGGGAAGAGGATAGCGTGGGGCCGGGGCACCCTACGGCCCCGGCCCCGCCATGGGTGTGCTGGTGCCGCTGGTGCTGGTTCTGGTGGTGACGGGCGGGCTCGGTGCTCACCGGGACACCTTGGCCTGCACGCAGGTGGGTCGGTGGCACCAGCACAAGGGCTGCCGGGCACCGCGGCACCGGCTTCACCATCTCCTCCCGCCAGGGCCTCGCCTGCCGCCTCCTGGGTAAGTGGCACTGCCATAGCCGCGGGCACACGCAGGAGTGGGATATGCGCCCATAACCCTGCACCCACGGACCCGTGGCCACCCTCTGTCTTCCCCTCACCCAGACCCCGACGTGCTGTGCGGGATGGAGCCGCAGGGATCTCACCACGGGCTGGCCCTGTCTCGGCTGCGGCTGGAGCCGGCGCTGCGCTGCACCGGAGCCAGGGCCTGCTCTCCCTGCCTGGAGGCACGGCTGCGCCTGGCTGTGCCCCGCGGCGCCGCGGGGCCGCGCATCCCTGCGGCAGGGCACGGCGGTGATGGGGACCGGGGGGCACCAGAGCATGGGGACCCCTCGCCCCAGCACAACGCCAGCGGGGTGCTGCTGCTCGCCGCGCACACGTACACCTCGTCCCGCTGCGTGGCCATGGAGGTCTGGGCACCCATAGGCACTGCGCTGCCCGGGCGGACGCTGGTATGGAGGTGGGGGTAGCAGGGATGGGTGTCCCCAGCAGTCACTGGGCACTGTGGGTACTGGCACCGCTGCATCTCTGTGGTGCGGAGGTCCTGTTCCTGTATTGCCACAGCACAGCGGCGGTTTTCCTGCCCAGGGCTGGGTTACATTCCGGTGCTTTGAGGCACCGCTGGGCTCCGAGCTCCGTGTCACGGCGTACACCACCACGCGTGGCCATCGGAGGCTGAGCCAGCTGCAGCGGGTACCAGGTGAGCCCCCACATGCAACCCAATGTGGCAGCACCATCCCCCCTGTGCCTGCTGACACCCTGTCCCCACAGACTGCTCGTGGCCTGTGGCACAGAGTGCTGTCACCCAGTGCCAAGGTAGGTGATGGTGACCCTCACACCTTGGTGCATGTCCGCTATGGAGGGCTGGGTGAAGGATGTCGGGGGAGATGGTGAGGGTGACCCCTGTGGTGCTGTGCCCTGTGCCGCAGCGCCCAGGTTGCAGGTCTCCCCGGGGCCCAAGGAGGTGGTCATTGAGGTGCAGGGGGCGATGCCAGGGCACAGCTACACCCTCCGGCTCTACCACAATCAAAGCCATGGCACTGCCGGGCCGGGGCGCGTGGTGACTGTGGTGAGTGTGACCCCTTCCCTGACCCCCCCACCCTGGCCGGCTCTGTCCGCTGCCCCCCTGCCCAGTCCCCGGGAAGCTGTGTCTGTGTTACAGGCAGGGCGCTGGTGTCACCCTGGGCTGGGTGACACTGCTTGGGGGGGGGGGGGTTGCCATGGGGTGACCCACGTCTGGTTGCTGGTAGCAGAGCAGCAACGTGAGCTACAGCCTGCCAGCCGAGGAGGTGCTGCCCTGCCTCTGCCTGCAGGTCAGTGTGCGGGTGGGCACTGTGTGTCCCCCCCCCCATCCAGCATCCCGAGGCCAGCATGGATACCCCAAATCCTTCTCTCTTTTCCTCCCCTCCCAGGTCTGGCTGGAGACCCAGGACCCATTGCGGGCCACCCTGTGCCCCTTCTCCCATGGTAACTGTGCTATGGGGCTGGGCTGGGGCACAGAGGGACCCATGGGGACACCATGGGGTAACACTTGTGTCCGGTGCCACCACAGATGCCAAGGCCTGGCAGCAGCTGTGGGCACGCAGCCGGCTGGTGCTGCATACCGAGGCACAGGCACTGACCTGCTCCCTCTCATCCCCCTGTGATCTCCTGGCTGAGCTCATTCCCTGCTGGCAACCAGCACCCACCGGGCCCTGCCAAGCACTGCCCGGCCTGCGGCACCCCGCTATGGGGCAGGTGAGTGGGGCTCCATGGCGCACTGGGAGTACCAGAGGGCTGTGGTGGCACTGATGGAGCATCCCTTCCACCCACAGGGATCCCAGGAGCTTGGGGGGCTGTGGCCACACCCCAACCTTTGTGTGCAAGTAGGACACCCCTCTGCCCCATAGCTGCCCTATGGCTGCCCCATGGGCACCCCTGGGTGCTGCTAACCCGCTCTCTGTGGTAGGTGTGGAGTCATGGGCAGGTCCGGCTGAGCCAGTGCCTGCAGGATCGTGAGTAGAGATGGGGCAGGAGGGCAGGGGCAGCCCCAGAGGTCTGGCTGTGGGGCAGGAGCTCTCCCTGGATCCCCCCCGCAGCCCCTGGCTCACCCACAGGAGCACTGCCCGGCCGCCCCGATGACATCCTGCTGTTGGAGCGCCATGGGAACACCTCGCTGTGTGTTCTGGAGCGGGGCGCATGCACCCCCCTTGCCAGCTTCACCAGCACGGTGAGCCCAGGGCCCCCGTGTCCCGGTAGCGGTGGCACCGCGGCACAGCCGGCTCACCCCGTGCTGGTGTTGCAGGGACTGGGACACCCGGGGCTGCTGGAGCAGGAGCTGCGGCGGGATGTGGCGATGGGACAGTGCAGGCAGGTCAGTGCGGGCAGCAGCGGGGACACGTCCCCAGTGTGTGATGTGTCCCCAGTGCGTGACAGGTCCGTGTGCCCACAGATCTGGCACCATGAGAACAGCACCGCGGTCACGCTCTGGGCCTGTCCCATGCATAAATGTGAGTGTTCCTGGCTGTGCCATGGCAGTTTGGGGCTGGTGGGTGCTGTGGGTGCTCCATGGACACTGTCTCTGCCCCACAGACCTGCGTGCCCGCTGGGTGCTGGCATGGATGGGGGTGATGCTGGGAGCTGCCTGCCTCCTGCTCCTGCTCCTGCTGAAGAAGGAGAACATTAAAGGTGAGTGGTGCCCATGGGGGGAATGTTCCCATCCTAAGGCCCCTCTCTCAGGACCTCACCTCACCACCATTCCTCCCCATAGGCTGGCTGAAGTCCCTGAGGGTTGATTACAGCTCTGAGGGTGAGTGTGGGGTGAGCCTAGGGTGATGGCGGTCCCCATTAGGGCTGGTCCCTGCTTGCTTCCCAGGCTGCCCCATAGGTTGGGTTGGGGTGTAGGGGGACAAAGCAGAGGATGGGAATCCTATGGAAGTAGGGTTCCCAACCTACCTCCCACTATGACTGTTCCTTAGGGTGGGTAAGGGGATGGGTCTTATATAGGGTGAGTAAGGAAATGGGTGGTGGCCCCCCAAGCACCCCCATAGGGTGGCTGCAGGGTACCTGGGGATGAGTTCAAACACTGACGATGCCCCCCAGCCCCGCTGCGCGGCCGGCGGGCGCTGCTGGTGCACGCGGTGGAGCCGGTGGCAGAGCGGGCGGCCTGTGCCCTCCTGGCAGCCCTGCGCCCGCTGGGGCTGGCCGTGGCGGCAGCACCGGGAGGCGGCAGCGGGGCAGCAGCGTGGGGACCCCTGCCCTGGCTGCACGCGCAGCACCACCGGGCGCTGCGCGGCGGGGACACCATCATCATCCTCCTCTCGCCAGCGGCCGTGGCTGCCGCGCACCAGTGGGACGCTGATCCCAGCCCCAGTGATGTCCCCACCACCACACCCTGCGAGGCCTTTGCTGCGGCACTGTCCTGTGCCGTGCCGGAGCTGGCGGCAGGCAATGGGCGCTACGTGGTGGCCCGGCTTGAGGCCTTGGTGCCGTTGGTGCCACCGGTGCTGCGGGCAGCCCCTGCCTTCGCTCTGCCCAGTGAGACCAAGGGGTTCCTGCGGGCGCTGGCAGCACCGCGGTGGCGGGGACGGTGGCTGGAGCCGTACGTGGCGGCAGTGGCCGGGGGGCTGCGGCGGGCGGTGGGGGAATAAACAGTGATGGCAGGAGTCGAGCCCAGGTGGTGTGGGGGAGATGGGAAGTGGGATGGACTGGGGAGGGGTGGCGGGAGGTAAGGGGGGAACTGGGGGAAGGGAGGGGGTCTGGGCTGGGTTGGGTGGAGAATGGATGGGGAACTGGGACAGTTTGGGGGGGATGAGGGGGAACTGGACCAGTTCGAGGTGGGATGATGGGGAACAGGGAAAATCTGAAGAAGATGAGGGGGAATTGGACCCGCTAATGGGGGATCATGGGGAACTGGGCCAGTACCGGTGAAATGAGGGGGAACTGGACAGTTCAGAGGGGATGATGGGAAACTGGGCAAATCTGAGGGGGAATGAGAGGGAACTGGACCAGCTCACTGGCGATGACGGGGAAGTGGGGCAGTCGGGAGGGATGAGATGGATCAGGACCAGCTCATGGGGATTGATGAACCGGGCAAATCAGGGGGCGCTGGACCAGTTTGGCTGGACGGGAGCAGGTGACCTGGGACCGGTTTGAGTGGGGGGTGATAGGGACCGGCCCAGGCGGGTCGGGGACTGAGGTTCTCTCCCCGGAGCAGGACCCGTGCGCCCCGAGAAGCCGGTGCGGGGTCCCCACCCCGCAGGTGTCCTTGGAGGCGGCCCCTTTAAGGCGGCGGGGAGGCGGGGCCCGGCGGGCGGCGCGGATTGGCTGTGAACGGGGGGTCGCGGGCAGCGGGAGCGCTGCCATTGGCGGGGGCGGTGGTCGCTGAGTCAGTGGGCGGGGCCAGGCGGCGCGGGCGGGGCGCAGGATGGGGCCGCGGGCGGCCGCGCTGCTGCCGGTGCCGGCCCGGCGGGGGGGGGCGGCGCTGGGGGGGGCCCTGCTCGGGGCCGCGCTGC